GGCAGGTGGGTAAGCATCGTCTTGGCAACCAAAAGCACTAATTAAAGATCAAGGCTGATGGGTGAGAATGCAGAACTTATTAATGTTCAGAAAGACTCACCAATGGGAAGTCTTCAGGGGTTTCACCTGCACTGCAGGTGAGCCTAAGAATCCTGCCTCTATTCCCTAGTAGCAGCCTGGTACAGTGGAGATCACAACTCTGGAACAATGACCACATGACCATAAAGCACCAGAGGCAGTTTTGAGACAAAAGGACAACAGGGGGTCTTATGGCATTCAGGTGGAGCTAGGAGACTAAATGAATTCTAAGTGGAGAATTTGGTGCCACCACTTGAGCAGCTAATGAAGAAAGCAGAAAGATTCTAATAGATAAAAGTCTAAGTGTACCAGAAACACCTGTAAAATATACTCAGACTCTATAAACTGAAAAGGGCTTTATTAATTCTTCCTTATACTGAACTCCCTTCCATGGTCGGGGTCCCATCCTCTACAGCAAGAGTCAGACTAACCCTTCATTTCCATAGCAATGCCTCAATGACTGTACAACAGCTTTCATGTGTCTTCTCCTAACTTCTCCCCGTATTTAATCTTGGATTCTTCAATGTTCCTTCAAGTGACATGGACAACAACTTGTATGTAGTCAAATAAATACTCCAGAATTTTTATGGGCTCTAGATCTTTTCTTCTTCTAAGCGAAAGCACTTAGGAGTAGGAATACGTCTCTTGGAGGTAAAAATGCAACTTAGTGATCTCAAACATGGCTGAGATATTCTCAACCAACTGTTGCTCCACTGCTACCTCAGAGTGGGGTGGAAAGACAGAAAAAGTAGAGAAAAGAACAAAGAATCAAATTTTGGTGATAAGATTCTAAGAAATCAAATCACTGTTCATTTACTCCTTTCTATGTTATAAGTTTAGCTTTATATGATATGCCAAAGAAATCTTTATGGGCCCTCTGGGCTTACTCTGGATCCTCAAGAAGTGGTCTGTAAGTTAAAGCCCTTATGACAGTAAACTCACCCTAGAAAGGACATTCATCCAATAGACGTTTCAATATGGAGAGTTCATTACTGGCCAATCAACTCCAATGCCATCTCACATATCCTTTTTGCTAGGAAATTTGCTTTTTATGTGACTCCTTAATATTTTTGCTCATATGCTTAATAGCAAACCTACTGATCACACAAACTAGATGACCCAAGGGACTCTCAATAGGCATCAGTAGTAGCAGCAAAAACAAAACTCAAAATATAAGTAAATATAGATTTTGAAAACAAGTGTCCACAAAGAGCTCATTAACTGTGAAAGACTTTTTTTTTTCTTTTTGGAGAGATTTTTGCTAAAGGGTATGTGTGCTCACTGGAGACACAGCAAGAGACAGAGAGACAGAAAGCGAGAAATCAGTTCCCTTAGGGGGATGGCCACACTGCAATCCCTTCTCCTCCATTCTCCTCTCAGGATCTTGGGTACACACACACACACACACACACACACACACACACACGTGCCCAGCATGAGTTTTTTAAGACTCCAGGTCCGGGACTTGAACTGTGGTGCACTACATGGCAATCCAGTGACATAACTATTACACCATCTGCTGGTCCCAAATGTAAAAGACTTCCATACATTAATGGAGAGGCAAAAATAATGTCCTAAATGACTTATCACCTAGTTGGGGACGTAAACAAAAATGAAAATATTAAGATATTTTTATAAATAGTCTTATGGAAGAGATGAAATTTGGGTAGGACCTTTTAGGACCATTAAACTCTAGATAAACAAAAAGGGAAAACATTCCAGAGCAGTAGGGTGGTACAAACAAAAGTTTAAGGAAGAAAAGCCAAGTATGTGTTTGGGGATAGTGAAGAAAACAATTTTGTTTGGGCAGGGCTCATCAACTAGTATAATAAGTGGGTGTTGGAAAATCAATGAAGGAGAATCGGCTTAGAATACTGGGTAAGTGTAAACTTTACCTATAGGCCAGTGATTTCCAAACTTTGATTATATACCTCTACTATTAGGTTGTTGGAAAAGTCATGATGCATTTTTGCATAGAACAACATAGAAAAATACATCATGACTTTTCTGACAACCCGATAAACATAATTTTGGTCATTGTGATGGTTAATTTTGGGTGCCAGCTTGACTGGATTGAGGGATGCCTGATGGCTTGTGAAGTTTTGTTTCTGGGTGTGTCTATGAGAGTGTTTTCAGAAAAGACTGGCATGTGAGTCAGTGGACTGGGAGAGGAAGACCTGTACTAATGTGCGTGGGCATTATCCAACTGGCTGGGGTCACAAGAGGGATGAATAGAAGAACTTGAGGGTTCTTTTATTCTCTCTGCCCTTTCTAGGGTGAAATAGGGTGTTCCCTCCTCCTCTTCCTCCCACCACCATTTGGACATCTTTCTGCTCAGTCCCTATGTCAAGGCTTAGACCTTGGCTGCATTAGGTTTCCATAGGTGCTCAGGCCAGGTCCCTATGCCCTACTGGTTCAAGTCCCAGACTTTATGACTTGAAAGACTCCAGGTTGTTTAGTTTTTAGACTTTAGACTTGTACCAGCCAGCAGTCTCTGAGACTACTGGGCCTTTAACCTTGCTGGGGGCTACACTGTTGGCTTCCCTGGTTCTGAGGCTTCCAGTAATTTCACCAGCTTGTAGGTGGCCTGTTGGGGGACTTCACTGCTTTTATGATCACATGAGCTAATTCCTATAGTAAATCCTCTTTTTATATATTTATCATGTTAGTTTTATTTCTCTGGTGAACCCTGACAAATGTAGTTATGTACAATGTAGTTATGTAAAATTCCCCCAGAATTGTAACTTATTTATAAATGATATATTTTGGCTACTGTACTCTCATTATATACATAACAAGACCTATAAACTATCTTAAAGTGATGAGATAAAGAGAGTCTAATATGTTCTTCCTGTACTGTGTTGTGTAACTGAAGGCACTCCACTTTGGAGATCACTGTTTATGTAGGCAAGAGAGGCAATGAGCCTGTACAGAGAAAGAAAGCTATAAGCAGTGCGTGAAGATGACCACTGAGGATTGTGAGGTGCAGAGGTAGGACAGGTAGGAGAAAATCAGGTGAGCAATGGCTACTGCAACAATTCAGGCATGAAGTCAGAGCCCAGGCTCAGGTAGTAAAAGAGAAAATGCAGGGACCAGCAGTTAGTGTAATGGCTATGTTGCTGAACTCCCATGCAGCCAACCGTGGTTCGAGTTCCAGACCTGGTGGCTTAAACCCACGCCGGGCAAGTGTGTGTGCGTGCTCAAGATCCCAAGAAGAGAATGGAGGAGAAGGGATTGTGGCGTGGCCATCCCCCCTGGGGGGGTGATTTCTTGCTTTCTATCTCTCTGTCTCTCTCAGTCTTTCTGGTGAGCACATGCACCCTATAGCAAAAACCTCTCCAAAAAAAAAAAAAAAGAAGAGAGAAAATGCAAAAGAAAGATGATTTTATAAAAAAAATTAAAGATGGCATTTGTAAAATGAAGAGGGTGTATGTGTCAGTTAGGAAAGTGAACAAGGAGGAGTCAGAGAGGGATCCTTTGAAAAGTCAATAAAATGCCCACTCCCACTGGTAGGACGGGGAATGATGGTGGGAAAATGGACAACCTTCAACAATTTGACACTAGTTACTAAAACATCAGCTTGATTTACATTTTTTTAATTAGGAAGGCAAATTTATATTCAATCTCATTTCTATGTTATAAACTGGGGTATCTGAAAAGGGAGTTACTGTAATCAAAACTATTACCAGGCAGTTTTCCCTAGACGGTACTCATCGTTCTCCTCTAATTTCTGGGCCAAATGGAGAAGGGTTTAAATGATGCTGATTAACAAGACTGTCCAATAGAAGTCTGGAGGAAGCACAGACATTCATCCTAATGAGAACAGCAGAAAAAGCTAAATGGGTGACATAGACGAGAGCAAAGTAAAAGAAAATGCTTCAAACTGTCATCCTAAATTTCACATCTAAATATCATCTAACACTTAAATGTGGAAACAGGGCCAGCTGGTGGCATGGCAGTTAAGGTGGCTGGATCCCGTATGGCCAACTATATGGTTCAAGTCCCAGACTTCATGGCTTGAAAAACAAGCTGGTACCCATGTGTGTATACCCAAAATTTTAAGAGAATGGAGAAGATGCTGCATGGCCACCCTCACACCTCTATCCCCCCCACCCTCCCCACCCCAGCGGGTACTTTCTCACTTTTCCTTTCTCTCTTTCTGTCTCTCTATGACAAGTACATGTGCCCCATAACAAAACTGAAAAAAAGAAATAAAGAAAGAAAGAAAGAAGAAAATATGGGATTGGAAGAATAGTTCTATCCTAATGAGCTATCCAAAATGGAGCCCTTTCATTATGTCAAAATCTGGAGCTCAGACTTACCACCTTTCCCTTTGATGTTCTCATTTGTCCATCAGACAGTCACAGGCTAGACCACTTGTCCGTGGCTTACGTTTGGTGACACCCCTATAATAGGGATATGCACCTGTTCCCTTAATTTCTTATGATGATGCTCATTCCCCTCTATAATCAGCAGTCTGGGTTTTTTTTTTTTTTTATTTTGTAAGCTGGAGGCTACCTGAGTTCTCCAAATAAAAATTACCTAGCGCTTTCAAAGATCTAATCCATGCCCTCTGTCTCGGCAGCACAGGGTACTAGCTTCAGAGCTAACTAGACACATACCAGTCACTTGCCCGTAGGCCAGTGGATCAAGCATAAGGTGAGACTAGTTTGTCTCCAGTCATTTTCACCTTTCATCAACATCACAATTCCAAAAAGGCCTATTTATTTTGCATGCTCATTCCCAAACAAAGCCAAAAATGTGTTTAGAGCACAGCTTTTTAGAAACCATCATCAGCTGAAAACAATCCTTCTGGAGGAATGAAGATAGGCACAAAGGGAAGGAACAGGGCAGGTAGATGCCGGCCCTGGGAGCCACATGGAGGTGACACACACAGAACTGCCTCCAGGACCCCCACTTACCAGCTTGCTTTTGACCAACTTTTCTATTGCACTGACAAGGTCTGCAGCAGTAGGTACTTCAGTGGAAGCCTGCCGGGCTGCTAGCAAAGAGGAAGACTGCAAGACATTGGGCAGCAAGGAAAAGCAGATTAGCAAGGAATGAGGAATAGCAATTAGGAAGCAAAACAGAGAGTCTAAAGCTCAAGGCAGGCAAGGGGAAGCAAAGCTCTGTTAAGGGGGAAAATATGACAGAAGGAGATGGAAGGTAATGTGGGTATAGGACAGGCCTGGCCAAACCCTTGTCAAGAATTCTGGCCAGCAACAAAGCATGGATATGATTAGGTTCTCTTGGGGTCCGCAGGTGGCATGGCGGTTAAGGCGCTGGACTCCCAGATTGCTGACTGCGGTTTGAATCCCAGACCTGGCGGCTTGAAAATCATGCCTGGCATATATATGTGCTTCAAATCCCAGGAGAATGGAGAAGAAGGAATTTTTGCAAAGCCATTCTCCCCTAGGGGGGTGATTTTTCACTTTCCCTCTCATTGTCTCTCTCTCTCTCTTTGCTAAGTGTACACGCTCTGTAGTAAAAACCTTTTAAAAAAGAAAAAAAATAGTTTCTCCTGGGGCTTCTTTAGGAGCTGAGAGAAGAGGCTGCTGAGCTCCTGGGAGGCCAACAGGAGAGATTCACCTACTGGCAGCAATGGCATGAGGCATGGAGCGGTAACCATTCTGAGGGCAAAGAGGAGTTTGGCTACTACACAGATGCCATTGCTATTGCTATTCCATGAAAGAGTCAACAAAAAAAATCAAGAGAAATAGTCCTTTTTTAAAAAAAAAAAAAACTATAGTCTTAGACATAGATCTTCACTGCATGTCAAGTAAAAATTATAGGGGTAGGAGATGTAGAGACCAGCAAGCTGGATGTCCCCTCCCCATGTTCTCACCCCACCCACCTATCCCTACCCCCATAAAACACAGGTAGTTCTGGTATATCCTGGAATGGAACACCAGGAAGGAGTAAAGGGCTGTAGCAGGAGTTGCATGTAGCATTCTGGAGCAACCACAGTAACGAGGAGCTTGGTGGGAAAGTTTCACTGTGTCTCTTGCCCCCTTGCCCCGGCAATAAGGACTTGTCCATGTGGTTGTTTGGTCAATGGTTCAGGATTCCTGCTTACTAGGTACAGTAGATTTTTATTTCTTTTTTTCTTCCTCTTTCTATCTAAGAATAAATTGGGTGTAACATGGTCAACCTTGCATGCATGCATGTGCCTTTATGACCAGCAGATCAGAGCAGAAGGCAACAGTATTCCCAGGGCCAGGACGAAGGCTCCTTCAGTCTGTGAGGATGATTGTGACTGTGGAAACTCGAATGTTGTGGCCTTACTCTGACTTCAAATTTGTTCCTTAGGTTTAGGAAAGAGTTTCAAAATGAAGCTTCTTAATGTCTAATCTAGGAGTTTAAGTCTTTGCTTCAAGGTGGGAGTGGGGATATTAAACTATATCAAACTATATATATATATATATTCATACATATATATATTTCTATATATAGGGACTATTAAACTATTACCCTAATATCCTAATATCACCGGTCTACAGCATTAACAGAGAGAGAAATGGCAGAAAGCACAAAATGACAAGAGGGAGAAGAATTTCTTAGCCACCTCAGTGATTACAGCAGGTTACTTTGCCAGATAAAAACGCATTTATTCCCCTCAACCAAAACATGTCCACTATATTATGATTATAGAACATATGTGGGGGAAGAGTGAGTATTGTAGGAAAAAAAGCTCAAGTCAGTTCAGAAAGCCAAGTTATCATCTCTTGGTCTAGTAATCCTACTCCTGGGAACTTACTCCAAGGACAGAAGTCAAAAGAACAAATGCTCTATGGATGCAGTGATTGGACACTACTTACTAGAGTTAGGATGTCCCAGACAGGGGCTCTGCCAGCAAATAATAAACATCAAATATATAAAGCATTCTCCTATAGTTCTAACAGTAAAACTAACAAGAGTTTAGGAAATGGTAGTAAATAAAATATTGAATGATCATATGTATATGTATATATATAATATATATATTACAACTGTAAGTGTGAAACATAGACACATATGAGCAAAGATTTGGACACATGGAGAGGTCAGTCATGGTGGTGCAGTGTTAACACAATGTTCTGAAGCCAATGGGAAGGTCCTGGGTTTGTATCCTGAGATCTCCCTGTACACCCTACGCATCCGCACACATGCCCATGATTCTGGTTGACTGAGGCGGGGTGGGTTGGGGGATGGATCATGGAGAAGACCCTGTTAAGAGTGCCTTCTTTCCATAGAAGAAATAAATAAACTTTTAAAAAAAGAGAAAGAGGAATCATAGATAATTAAAATAATCATTTGGTACTATAATATGTGAGCTTTAAAATTTTCTTTATATGCTGTGGCAAAAATTGTTATAATAAACCCAACTCTATCTGCTAGACATTCTAGGTTCACTGTATTCCAAAACAGTCCAGAAAAACAGATGTACAGAAACCCAATAAGCAGGACTGAAGAAAGTATTTAAAGAGAGACTGTTGCCATCTGCTCTATTTCTGGATAAGAAGAGGACTACAAAAACATCTGGGGTAAGTCCTCATTCTCAGTTAAAAATTATCCAGAAACAGCACAACATCCATTTCCTCAAACAAACTGTGTTTGAGGGAATTAGAGGAAAAGAGTTTGTGACCTTGACATCTGTTATGCAAGCTGGCCCCTCCATAGAGAGCTGGCAGGTGATGTGACATGGGCACACAATCCCTCTCATGCACTGTCACTATCTGCACAACGTGTTACAAGGGTAGGACTCTGGGAGCACAAGCAGGGTAACTCTCACTCCCATCTCAAGGTGAAGCACAGGTATTTCTGCCTCTGGAAATCCAGGATGCGGTGTGATGGAGTGAATTTCATGCTTCCTACTACTCTTCCCAATAGAGAGCTGGCCATCAGCTCACCAGCCCCTCATCATCACCTTGGGAGGGCTGCAATGGCATTTTCCATGAAGAGTCACATAGGAGGTGGCTACCACATCTCAGTCACTGTCCCGTCCCTAGACTCTACCCCTCTAGTCTAACACAGAGGAAGATCTCAGTGAAGGTCTGGGGTTGACAACTCGAAGGCAAAGCAGAGAGAATTAAAGAACTGATGTCACCAGAAACACTGAAGCATCTGAAACAGCACTTTCTGAATTGCATCCCGGGTAGTATTACGGTCTGTTTCCTGCTTACACATGGTAGGCACCACCTTGAAGAAGGCTTCCCCATTGCAAGGCAGAGCACTAGGGAGCACAAGGGGACCTTAGAAGGACAACAAAACCAGTCACATCCACTAGCATCATTGCCATCCCACAACAAAGCAACAGTGCAAAAAGCAAATGGAAAGCACAAGCAAGAACTGAAACCATCACTTCAATGTCTAGAATCCAAGAGGGTCAGCAACACTTAAGTGAAGGCAGACAAACACGATGAAGAACAACATGGCTGCAAGAAAAACAAGTGATAGAGAACAGAAGCAAAGCATCCCCAAGCCTCTGGACAGTACCTGGTAACACATCCAACCTGAGCCTTTGTTCTAGAACAATCAGGGTGATCATCAGATGACTTAAGGCACAGGGTGCATCTACATGTCAGATACCACTGAGCCTCTGTACGCTCATGAGCCAGGGACGTTCACAAACAAAAAGTTGGGAAACTTGGCGTATAAGATTTATCCACTGTTGACGACAACAACCTCCCCTTAGTAGCATTCCCAACCCTTGTTCTGAGGTTGCAAAATTTTAACGATACTAGGCTTGACTAGAAGTTATCACTAATTAGATGTTAGATTTCAGCATAGAGAAAACAACTAAAATGTAGATTGGCAGTCAGGTACAACAAAATGGATATAACTGCAGATTCCTTTCTGAGACAAACAGTTCCTTTTAAAATATGCTACTTCCAAAGACAAGGCTGTTACCCTTTATCAAGAGAATGAGACACCAGGTAGCCCTCACTTTGAGAACTCTAACTTTCCTCTCCCACCCAGACAATCCAGAAACCCAGAATGAAGTCAGACCTTGAGGGCTGAGGAGGAGGACACCTACCAAACACAACTATCAGCAAATCTTATCACCTGGATTCATGTGGGGTAAGAGAACGAGGGAGAGAAAATATCACCGCCCCTGTCTCACACGCACACAAATGAAATCACACGCATTATGCGTTGCTTTTTCAAGTGAGACAGTCCAGAGGTCTTACCATCTCATCCTGGGTGGGGTCATTGTCAAAGATCTTCATTGGTGGAGGGAGAGGGGTATGTGACTCTTCATCTGGCTCATCTTCACCCCAACCTTTCTTGCTCTTCTAGAACAAAAGAGCAGCATTAGTTATGGCTTCACAGCAGACCAGGACTTGACATTTTGAAAAACAACACAGGAGAGGAGGTTCTCTTGACACAACCCTGTCTTTTCAGCTGCTGTTTCCTCCTCGGTAACATGGATACACATTCTTCTTCTAATGAGTACCAATGGGGACACATGCACACACCCTGGATCTTGTTGATTAGCTGAGAGACAAGAGTGGCCAGAAAGAGTCAAACTTCTAAAATGTCTGGGGGACTATTAAACTATTACCCTAATATCACTGGTCTACAGCATTAGCAGAGAGAGAAAAATGGCAGAAAGCACAAAATGACAAGAGGGAGAAGAATTTCTTAGCCACGTCAGTGATTACGGTAGGTTAGTGTGCCAGATAAAAATGCATTTCTTCCCCTCAACCAAAACATGTCCACTATATTATGACTATAGAATGTCAGCTTTTAAGGTTCTTCAGGGATCATATAGCATGACCACTCGGCTAACATAGGGCTCTCGGACTAGTACCTGAGGTCACATGGTCTCCAAGCTCTTCTAGTGTGGAGGTTTGTAAGATCTCATGAAGACCTGTTTCATCACTGATTTAACCCCTTCCCCCATTCAAGCTTCTTGTTGAGCTCAAACCTTGCCTACTGTAGCCTCCGTCTGTTCATCTCAGCTCTCGTCTGTGGGGGCAACCTGCAATCGCCTGCTCCCTTGTAAATGTGGCACTGCTCATGATACTAGAAAACAGTCATAGCCTCTCAGCCCAATCTTCTACTTTCCAAGTGAAATGTTCTTCATTTTTCACTTAGTCTGAACAGGCCTGGCTGGTTATGACACAGTTCTTTTTTTTTTTGGAGAGGTTTTCACTATAGGGCATGTGCGCTCGCCAGACAGACAGAGACAGAGAGACAGAAAGTGAGAAATCACCACCCAGGGGGGATGGCCACGCTGCAAACCCTTCTCCTCCATTCTCCTCTTGGGATCTTGGGCACGCACGCACACACGCCCGGTGTGAGTTTAAGCCACCGGGTCCGGGACTCGAACCACGGTTGACTACATGGGAGTCCAGCGACATAGCCATTACGCTAACTGCTGGTCCCTTGACGCAGTTCTTAACAGAGGCAGGGAACTTGATTACCAGCTGGCTCCCCTCAGGCCCAGGCCCCTGTTTGCAACTCTGCCAGGACTGTTTCTGTGTACTGGATATCCTAGGTGCTAGTCAGTCTCTAAATTGACCACAAAATCAAACTGGCCAAGGTTTTGAGGGAAAAAAAAAAGAACTCGCATCACTTAGGCTAAGGATGACTAATGACTGAGGCGAGTGACTGGCTAGTTTACAAAACCTGGGGAGGAGGCATGTCAAGACCTCCTCTCCATCCTCTTCCCCCTCCCCCCCTCCCCCATCACCATGGAAGGCTCCAGGGCCCTGTCTGTGTAAGTACCTCATCAGCGCTGTCTCCCTGCGGGGTCGTTTCATCCCCAGGCTTGGGAGAGCCCAGATCGAAGCTCTTGCGACCATCACGTACTTTCTTCTGCTTTTTGATGTTTCCGTCTGCTTTTCCGCTGTTGAGCCGACGCACAGGACTCGTCAGCCACTTCTTAAGGGTGTTGGTGGAGCGCTTGGGACCAGGGGAACTGTGGATGGAGTTCAGGGAGGGCTGAGCCTGCAGGTTGGCCACTGACTCCGACTTGCCTCCGTTTTCACTTGAGGAATGAGAGTAGGCATCTGAGGAAAAACGACAGAGACAGCCATGTCAGAGGCCGTTAAGGCAGGATGCCAACCTGGGAGTAAGAATGCTCCGTCCTTAGGAAGCGAGGACACAGGCAGAATGTCAAGGTCAGCCAAATGCCCCAGCTGAGGGAACCCTCACTAGAACAGCAGCAATAGGAGACTTTATTTTTAAATTTGCTATTGGGTGCTTACACTGGAGAGAGAAAGAGAGAAAGTGAGAAAGCACCTCCCAGGGAGACTAGCCATACCATAATTCCTTCTCCTCGATTCTCCTCTTGGGATTTTAGGCACACAAGCACATACACCTGGTGTCTGTCAAGCTGCTGGGCTTGGGACTTGAACTGTGCAGTCAGCCATGTGGTTCCAGCCATCTTAACCACCACACCACCTGCTAGCCCTTGCTCACCTTTTACTGTGTGAGGCACCATTCCAGGTGTTGTAGATACAAGAGTTCACATGTGGTCGGAAGCACAGTAGGCCATACTAACAACAGAGTAAGAGGTAAGGTTTGACAGTTGCCAAGAAGAGTTAGAACAAAAAGTAAAGTACGGAAAGGGAGTGAAGAGTGCTGGGGCGGGAATAGTGGGTGCAAATCAAACAACTGGTCACAGAAAGTCTCATTATGCGACATTTAGGCAAAGATCTAATGGTGGTGAGGGTGTGAACCACGTGTCTGTCAGACAAAGGGCATTCCAGGCAGGCAGAAGAAGGGCAAATACGAAGGTCCTGAGGCAAAACCGGGGGTGTTCCTGGGGTGGCTTCCGTGGTGCGAGCAAGAGGGGTACCAGTAAGAAAGGAGGTCGGAAAAGCCACAGGAGACCGGGCCAGCTCGGGCGTGGTGGGCCAGAATTACGCTTTGCCTTCTGCTTGGAGTGAACACCCATTGAAAGACTTTGAGCCAGAGTCACTTACATTTTAAAAGGTCTTTTTGGTTTCTATATTTAGAGCAAGCAGAAATAGGAAGACTGCTTAGGAAGCTACTTCCTTATTCCAGGTGAGAGATATTGGTGACTTGGAGCAGGGTAGTAGCTGGTTGTTAGAAGTGTCAGATTTTGGATATGTTTCAGTGGGTGGGCCAATAGAATTTGCTGACAGGCTGGGCATGGGAAATGAAAAAAAAAAAAAGACTCAAGGATGAGTCTAGTTTTTGGTTTGAACAACTCTTAGGATGTAGTCTCTGAGATGGGAAAAATTATGGTAATAATAGGTTTGGTGGAATAAAGATAGGAGTTCAGTTTTAACATCTTTGAGATGCCCATTAGATATCTGAGTGAATAAATGGAATAACAGCTTGATATGAAGCCTGGAGCTC